CATAAACCAGTCTCTCAGATATCCAGGTCCTATGCCATACAGGGCTTTATAGGTAAATATTCTTCATAAATGAATAACTCCGAACTGTGACTGGGAGGCTCAGAGCTGTGCTTTCTATTCTGAAACAGAGACATACATACATACATACATACATACATACATACATACATACACACATACACACACACACATGTTCAAAATTAACAGTATTTACATGCATCTTCAAGCTGAAATTTCTCCTCTCAAACTGAATGACACCGAAAACTTGTAGAACCATTATTTTTTAATGCGTATAACAATGGATTTAGTCCCACAAAACAATTTTCAAGACTTGCTGCTCTTAAAACAGTAGCTGGTTTCACATACTGTGTTAAACCATAACGTGTGTATTATTTTGGCTTGGTGTTAACTCAATCATAGTTTGCAAACTTTAGTATAAATCATAGTTTAGCTTATAGCTTAGCACAGACCTAGTCATTGACTTATTCCAAACATGACTAAGTGCAAAGAGTAAAGCCAATATATCTTTTCATCCTTTCACATTAGCTTTAAATCAAAATATAATCTAAATTTCTACATGATTTTTAAAAGCTCTGCTTACATTTAAAAATAGATCATGAACTGGGTTCAGATGAATGTTTAGCACTATGCATGAAAATGTCCTGTTACTTATCAATTAAAAATCATTCTTAGCACCATCTGAAAAATGAATGCCTCTTTTTCTTTCTGTGTGTATATGCATGTGCATGCACCATTGAATCAGTCTTGACTCCTGGCAACTTCATGGATCAGTCCCTGCAGTTTTCTTGACAACATGTTCAAAAATACTTTGCCATTGCCTTCTTCCTAGAGTGAGAAAGAATGACTAACCCAAGATTAACCACCTGGGTTCCATGCCTATGGCAGGTACAGAACCGATTGTCTTTTGGCTTCTAATCCAGTGCCTTTAACCACTATACTAAACTGGCTCATAAATGTTTTTAGTCATCAAGAAACCTAGTATAATGCTTGTGGAATCTTTTTTAGAACATAGTACATTAAAGGTAAAGTCTCCTTCAAGCTGAGCTCAACTGCAGGTGACTTCATGGGCATATCCATCTAGTTTTTTTGGTAGCAATATGGAAGCGGATTGCTATTCTCTTTTTCTGGATTTTTCTCTCTCTCAAATTTATAGTCTAATCTACAGCCCTGATATTAATTTACTTGAGGTCTCCCATCCATTTACAAACCAGACCCAAGCATGCTTAGTTTATGAGCCCAGACAAGGTCAGCCAGATGCTCCCATCTGCTAAGACAGTATACTAAAAATGAAACCTTCTAAAAATCAAGAATATTGAATATGTGTCACCGAAGAGGTTACCAGCAGTCCTAACTGCTCAGCTCCCCATCTCATCAAGCTGTTCTGTTTTTCATAACTCTACAGATTGTTCTGTAGGATCTTTAGTGTAGCTAAGCTCTTTGTGTACCAACATAACCTCTGGGTAGGTTAGTGATTAGCTATCCTGACTAGCTCACTAAATGTACTACTCTTTTCACTTGAGGAGGAGGAGTGGTGGTATTTTTAAGGCACTGACTAACTATGAAATAGCCAATGGCATATTTTACACCCTCCACTAAAATATAGACCCCTCCCATTTGGGAGTCTACCGATGAATGATGACGGTTGGGTTATTACATCAACACACCTCTCCAAAAATAGTGTAGGGAAGTGGAATAAAATTTGCATACTTTGGCTGTGATAAATTAACCAGGAAGGACCAGCATATATGGGATTTAGACTATGGGCTGGGAACAACCTAAGGCCAGCATTGTGTGATCACAGAAGAATGTTTGAGTTGCCAGGGTGTTTTCAAGTGAAGAAAGGGCCCAGAAACTCCAGTTATTTTCTTTTGTGAGAGACTAAAATGCAACACTTTCCCCATATCTGTTTTATAAACTTTAAAATCTTAGAAAAATGAGTAATATAACTGGGAACCAAAGCCTAGCAATTAGTTTTAAAAGGTACAGGACTAAGGAGGAAAGAAACTGTTCTACTCTTGGGCACTTAGCTATGATGGCTGAATAAGGGAAAGACAGAAAGACACTATGCCTTTCATGTTTTCTAGGGATGCAAAATTATTGTATTTCTGCTCTTGGGACACTGTCAGATGATAGCATTAAAGTGCTATCCACCAGTTCTTGAGATGGCAGAAAAGTAGTCCAGCACAAAATTTGCTGCCTTGATTGCCAAGCTTTTTTTTTTGGCCAGAGTAATAATGACAGTGAATGATGCCTTAATCTGGACAAATTCAGGAAAGTGATTGGTGGACATCTCTGCTTAATTTCCCTTCCTACCAAGCATCCCTTCCTGTAGGGGGAAAATAATCCTTTCTCTCTCCATAATGTGGGGATAATAAAATAACAGAACAGTAGAAACTTGTAATGCATCCAAAGGTGATAGAACTAGCAACACACAGCTGACACAACCTGGTTCTCTTTCCCTGTAAAATGACCTTCTAGGCAGCACAAGACTAGCCCTCTTTCTCTATCAGGAGGCCTTGCTTTGGAACCCTTTTACTAGGTATTTCACACTCCTTTGTGGTGTTTGGTTGTTCTAGGTTCCCGGAGCACAATGGAAGGCCACATCTGATGGTCTTTTAGCAAACTGTGTTTCAATGATGTCTTCATGATTGTAAAAACCACAGGGGCAGCAGCAGTATTACACTAGTGGATCAACTGCAGAGAGGCACGTAGACCTGTTTCTGTAGCTGACCCGATACCACCAGAATATAGCTGTAGTCCTGCACCTGAAGCTAAATGTTACTATGGTCACTAAGATCTAGTGGAAGCATAGAAGAGAACAAATGGTCATAAGGAGGAATATCCCAACTTCCGCCTTGAGGAGTAACTTTACAACAGCCTTCAGTGGTACCCTCCAACTATATTGTTGCATTTTTTTTCTCTTGTTTTTTAACATTTTTTATCTGTAATTACCCAGTTCTTGGGAGTCGGGTGGCATATAAATTTAATAAATAATTTACAATAGACCACAATTCTAATAATTCCAGCTAGTGTGGGCAGTAATAGCTGAGCTGATTGGGGGTTTTCAGGAGCTGTAATCCAACACACCTGGATGGAGGGCACAAATTTGGAAGAGGTTACTTGAAGTTGTGGTAAATTCTTCCAAATAGGTTTTGTATTGCAAGACATAACACCACTTTTGAACTGAATTTTTTTTACTAGAGGAGAGTTCATTCTCTGAATACGTCTGGTAGCTGGGACCTCTAAGAGAAGTAAGAAAGCACTTTCTGATGCATTTTAAGATGAGAGATGAGTTCACCCATCCAACTGTGCTGCAATGGCTGGGAATGCCTGGCTAGGCAACAAGGAAGCAAACAACTACGCAGAGATATGTTTTATCTATTCTGATTGGCTAGGTTCACACCTCATGTTAAAACACACACCACAGTTTATAAACCACAGTGAGCTGTTATGGCACAACCATCTGAGCCCAAACCATCATGGTTTACCTCAGTATGACTTGTTTGTTTTGGTTTAGCACAATATACAGTAAGAGGAATTGGTACCACGAGCTATAACTGTGTCTGCTCATAAGCAAGCCACATTGAATGAGCCACATCAAGGTGCATGTGATGACAGTTATGGTGATTCAGTGAGGATCTCTCCCCCTCTTATATGCTTCAAGGTGTAGAGAAACACCCAGTAGACTAATTTGCCTTGCAGGCAGAAGATGCCCCAAGACAAGGTTAGGGTAGGCTAGGCTAGCTGACTGGGATGATAGTCCAATGCATCTTGATGGCTTCTGACTGGAGCAATGATCGAATGCCCTGAATTTCTGAATAAAAATAGTTGCATGAAGCAGCTCACCTTAACCAATTGGACACTTGGTAGAATACTGTATGGTCTTCCCAGAGGGAACTGCATTGTAACAGTACAAATCTATACATACTTGGTCAAAAATAAGTCCTTGTGATTTCAGTAGGGTTTATTCCGAAGGAAGATGATGTAAGACTGCAGTCTTAAACTCCCCGTTTAAGTTGGTTAGTTTCCTGAATTTTAAAGCTTTTGTATAATCAGAAATAGGCCCATAATATTTTCACAAGACAGAAATGTTATACATTATTGTATATGTTGTTGAATTATACAGAGAACAACTGCATGCTAATTTTAAATACTGTTTTTGTTTATTTGTTTACAGGGAGCAATAATAGTGACTCCTAATGCTGTTCTTCCAAAAAAACAAAAAACAAACCCCAAGTCTGGAAGAAAGATCAGTATATCTGGAATGATTATGTGTTTTAAAGTCAGTTTGGCTCTCAGAAAATGATTTAAGTGGAATTTTCTCTACGAGCACCTCATCAGCCTTGTCTCGACTTGAAAGCTAAGTAGTGCTGGTCTTGATTAGTACCTGGACGGAAGATCGCCTGAGAATACAAAGGCTGGAATTCAAAAAAGATTCCAGAAAAAGGCAATGTCAAAACATGTCCGTACTGTTGCTAAGAAAGTGACACAGTGATATCTAAGTAGTCAGTGGGAGGCAAACACTGTTCAAGGGCATCTTTTCCTTAGGTTTGTTTAGGATGTTGACAGCTGTAGCAGCACTAATCTCAGGCATAAAAACAATGAAGATGTTTTGACACCTAAAGGCAAGTCATTTATTAACCAAAGTTTATGTGATGATGAATGTGTTCATCTTTCAGGTGCCACAACACTCTTCCTGGCTATGGTTGAAATTTGAAACCCCAGCACTTCTGAAATAGCACTGTCTGCCCCAATGACAACTTTTTCCAATCTGGAAGTTTGGTTCCCACAAAAGAAACCAGGAAAATGATTATAAAAGCTTTCTGTTTAAACTTATACTGATTTTACTTTGACCAATTTATATAAGACTACTAGTTTTGGTATACCCATGGATACTGAAGTGGTAGTGGGACTATTTTAAGAGATTCTCCATTATCAGGCATGGCACTCAGATGTTCCATTTCATTCAGAACAGAGTGAAAGAGGGTTGGGCTGCAGAACCTTGCCCCTTCAAGTTTCTATCCAACAAATAAGGTTTATCTTAGACTTGAACAAAGCCTAGTGCTTTTACACAGGACCAGTGTCAGTGCCCCCCACACCCAACTGCTTGCCTTTAAAAGCTCTCAGAATGGCATAGACATTTGCTAGGAAACCCCATTCCCAAGTGCTGTCCTCACTGTGCCAAAAGTGGACTCTGCTGCCCCCCAGCGCTACATCTGCTGGTTGCTCCACTAAAAAATAATCTAGCTTGTTCTCCCAGCACCAGGCTAGCCCCAGAACTGCCCTCCCAGAAGACTTTTGCAATTCATAGGAAATATTCTCATATACCTATACATGCCCAGTGACTTGATAACTCTTTTCCCCATTTCTCTCAGGATATAGGACGATGTAAGCAATCCTTTTGTAAAGATAATAGTGAATGCCTATTATCTTCCAACACTGAATGGTGTAACCAGTTGTGGTTTATTCAACAAATCTTGGTTAACCAAACTAATCATGATAATTTTATAAACATTATCTTTCTATAGTGTCCTATACATAAAGGCTATCTATTTATGTTTTCCATCTACAGCATATAAGTAAAAAGTTGGTCTGTATTTATGCATACAGCTTAATTTAAATTATAAGAATAGCCTGTATTCTTGGCCTGTTGAAAAATGTCTGTCTATTGTTTTGTTGGGTTCATCCTTGATCATTGTTGGTTTTTTATTCTTGCTAATATATTTTTTTAATTGTTTTAAATGTTGTTAGCCACCCACCCACAGTTACATTTGCAAGATGGGTGACCAAATAAATTGATTTAATAAATAAATGTACTTAGCTCACTTTTTGAAAAAAAGATCCGATTACCTACTTAACAAATCTTCCTTCTAGACAAACACAGCTTTATTAAAACACGACTCTAAACATATTGATTCATATATGCCAAACCATGATTTAACAACTCAGAATTGCTGTGTTCACATCCTACACTAAGCCATAAACTATGGTTTCCCACCACAGTTTCTGGGTACAAACAGACACTAAGCTGAAATTAAGCCATCCAGACTACAGCTTAATGTAGTAAATGAACCAGGTCACTCTGCAACCAGTTCAGCCAGAGTGAAATATTAACTATTCCCTCAACCTGATTTTCAGTGGAAAAGATTCCAGAGAACCCTGCCTGACCGAAGCAGAGCACCATCTCGCCCAGTAATAAGTTTCTTCGCTATGGCCAGCGGGAAGGCGGCAATCAGCATGAGAAGACAAAAGAGTTTCCCTGCCACTGAACACGCAGGCTCTATAGAACTACTTCATACTCAGCTCTGTCACTGAAATCAGTTTTAGGAGTAGGTAATTTTGGCAAGATTATGCCACTATTTTAATTAACGAATGGAACCAGTGCTTATGTGCTTGGGATTTAGCATTTGTTAGCTCAATAGTTCTTTTTTCCAAGATTTTTGAGCAAGGCCACAGGATCATCTCTCATTTCTGGCAAAATGAAGACAGGTTGGTATCAGTTCCCCTTTTCTAATGCTAGTTTTTGCATGGATAAGGCTGCTGGACAGATCAAGCCATAAACTTTTATCCAGAAATATCACTGAACTGCCCTCCAACACTCCACCCTGAACGTGAACAGAGGCAGGTGGAACGTAAATTTGACAATAATAAACCTTCTTGCTCACATAAACCTCTTTTCCAGTCCTATCACACAGGCTAGTGATACTTCCCTCTTTCCTTCTCTAGAAATTACTATGGAAATGAAATATGCTGGAGCCGAGATTTATTGTATATACTTCTTTCAGTTCTGCATTCAAAAGATTTCCTGGGCTCAGAATTCTTTTATTCTTATGTTATATCTTGGGTCAGACAATTATTGGCAGTTCTGCTAAAATGAAGTAGATCTCACAAACCTGGCTGCCTTAGTGATTTTGATAGTAAAGTATATTATAGCAACTAGCAAACCATCACTGCTGCTCTCCTTTGCATACTGTACTTTAAAAGCAATCTATATTGAAAAAGAATCTTAATTATCACAGTTCCCCACCTAGCTTGGCAGTACGTGCATGGAAGTTTCCAAAGGTGATTGCAGTGACCCTGGGATACCTGCTGCGAGGAGGGAATTGCACAGACTTATCCCCAGGATATAAATTCTATCCTGCTAGTCCTCATTTCTTCAGCAGCTGCTGTCAGGTGGCCCAAGATATTTTGCTGCAAGATGGCTCCCCTGCCATTCTGCATAGCAAGATCAAGGATAGCAAAACCCTTCTTCAACACTAGCAATGGGACAATATCTGTTACATCTGAAAGCAAGGAAGACTTTTTGGAGGGGACTTTCTCACTCTGGCTAATGTTAGGGCCAGTCTTGGCCAGAATTCTATAGAAATAATGCATCCAAAGCAGTCATTCATTTGCAAGTGAACATATTGCAGTCATAGCAATCTCCTCCTTCTCTTAAAGTATTCAAGACCAGTATTCCAGTCACTGCCACCTATCCATGAACAAAAGCACCGTAGTTCCTTAGTCTTTAAAGTCTCCACAAAACTACCTCCCCACCCCCTCCAACGTATATGCATAGTTATCTCTCTGAACCTTCTTTCTGGGTCAAAACTGTAATGAAGGCTTGGAAAGCTGAGAAATGTACCCATTTGTGGCCTTCACAATAACAAAAGGAAGCATCTACATCAGGGACAGGCTACCGACAGTTTCCAGATGCCTTGGACTACAGCCCCATGTTCAGAGGATTCTGGGAGTTGTAACCCAAATCAAGACGAGGGCTCTGCAGAGTTACATCCTTCTTGAGCCTCAGGTGGGCAGGAGAACCCCTGGGACCCCCACTGGGGCAAGGGGACCCCCACTGGGGCAAGGCAAGCCTGAAGGCGGCTTTCCGGAGATGGAGAGACTACACGGCTCACCTCTCCAAGCAGCGGAGCTCCTTGCAGCGGCCTTGACGCCGGCGCTGCTGGGCGAGTAGCTGCTGGGCTGGCTGAGGGCTCGGCTGAAGTGCTCGTCCACCACGGCGCTGATGTCCCCTTGGAAATAGGTGAACAAGACGCACCTGGCGTTGATGTACTCGGCCTCGGGGGGGCGCTCTTTCTCCGGGCTGCACTCCTCCTCCTTGATGCTGGCCGGGGCAGCGTGGTTGGAGAAGGAGGAGGAGCTGCTACCACCACTGGTGCTGGCGCTCTCGGTGGCTTCCTGCATCTTCGAGTAAAAGGCTAATTTCTGTAAAGGAGACCCAGAGTGGTCAGGACCCAGTGACCGCCGCTGCCTTGCCTCCTCCCGCCCCTCGCATTTCCTGCCCAGGGGTCTCAGAACGACAGAGGGCACTTGCCCTTCCCTCCTGTCTTTTCTCTGGGAGCCCAAGGCGGTTTACAAGGAGGTCTGCTCTCATTTCATTCCCACAACACCGTTGCAAGGCGGGTGGGACAGTGGCTTTTTCCGGGCTAGCCTTTTCTCGCATACTGCGGCTCATCTAACCATCACTAGCCAATGGGGCACAATCCATCGCCACAACCAGGGCTGGGTGAAGAAGGCATCAGGGACGAAACAGTCAGGCAGCGACTGGCATAGTCACCCCGCGAGCTTGGTGGCCAGCTGGGGAGCTGAACCTGGATCTTCAACATGGTAATTATTACACCCCTGCCTTTGTAGCCGTGAAAGCGCGGGAAAAACAGCGAGGAAGGGTTCCACTCTGCCTTGCCTATCAGCCCGCCAACTGAGCGGCTCCCCCCACCCGCCACCTTAGAGGAAAGGAGCTGTCAGAAACGCGCGCACAGTTCCTCCCGCTGCCAGGTGTCCCACGCAAGGGACGTAAGTTATGCCTAGAGAAACGCAGAGCTCTGACGAGCACCGTTGCCTTCGGATCCCCGTGAGGTCCGAGGCGGGGCCGTTTGGGCGACGAAACCTCGAGTCCCAAGAGATCAGTCTTCAATCACTACAACTCCAATCACTCCTCCCCCGTGCGGAGGGTGGCTTATGGGAGTGGTAGTCTAGCTCATTTGGAAAGCTGGAGAGGGCTGGAGAAAGACCACATTAACCCGTTGGTCGGTTTTCAAGGTGCCGCTCAGCGGAGCCATCTCGTTCGCGGTGTCTTCGCCTGGGAAGTCTCCTTTGACGGAGGCATTTCGGACGGATAGCGCGGAAGAGGCGATAACTCGCGCGAAGTCCGGGCTTGGAAGAGCCCCGTAGCTTCTGCTGCTCGGCTTCAGATACATCGGCGCGGGGGAGCTTCTGCCGTCCTGCCGCTTTCCCAGGAGCTGTCCTCTGCTCGCCTTCGCTGTGGAAATCCCGGAGAGGGGAAGAACCGATGTGGGCCCGGATCCTCCGGCCAGCGCGCGTCCTGCGCTCCCTTCCCTGGCAGGCCGGCGCCCGCGCAACCTTTAGAAACGCCCGGTCCCGGCCGGTCAGAAGGGCTGTTTGCTGGAGCCGGGCGGACCCGAGAGGACCGCGCAGAGCTGCGTGGACAAGGAGAACTGGCGCGGGAATGGCCCAACCGAAACGGCCATCCACTTGCGCATCTGGAGAAGGCGACTATATATCACTCCCCAATAATTTAAAACTGCCAAAGGCAGCGAACAATTTCCCATCCTAAATTAATTTTATTTTCTCGTCGACAGATTTCGAGTTAGCAAATTAAACGTCCAGAATACAAAAAAGCATAGGGACGTCAAATGAATAAATTAAAATAGTACATTAAACTACTATAAACTACTCTAAACAGGTCATTGAACCGGGTTGCGATTTAAGCCACGCTGTGTGCCTTCGCCTTCAGGTTGCCACAAGACTACTGTTTTTCCTGCCCGGGTGTGACATGTTTCTCCCACTGGAAACTGGGGATCCCGAAGCTCCAGGGAAGGCCGTGATTCTCGATTTTTACAGGATTCATTAGATCCAATGTTACCGTAATGAGCGACCAAGGAAGATCTTGGGGAGCCTTGACTTCTGTCCTAAATGTACAGATTCTCAAGGATCGCGGAGCAGAGTTCCAGTTGACCGCTGTCACTTGGGCAGAAGACTGCCCTCTCTTCAGAGCGAATGCCTGCAGGGTCCTGGTTTAATTTATTTTCTTGGGAAAAATTGGGCATTAGGAATCACGAGCGTTTTGAGGGGCGTTTCACGAGGTGGACGTCCTAAAGTCACGGGACTCTTCCCCATATTTAGCCCAAGCAGAAAAATCCTTGCTGGTTACAAGTTGAGGAGAGACAGCGAAGTGGACTTGGAAACGAAGGAGACACGGCAACTCTCCCTTTCAAGATAGGTTTTGGGAAAAAACGGGAAACGCATTTCTGTGGCGAACAGAGACATTTCCGAAAGGAAGAGATTATTTTTACTAGGTTCTGAAAAAGAGCGCGCGCTCTCTCGAAAGTCTGCTGCACATTCCCGCGTTTGCTTTTCCGCGGTTAGGCTGTTTGGAGCTGCTGCATTTGGGAAGGGCCGAAACAAGTAATTTGGATTCGGATGCAGAGTTAAGTGCCTGGAAAAATAAATCGGAGAAACGCTTTTAAACGGGGCTTTGACAGCGAACAAACAAGGCTCGACCAATCTCTACATCAACAATGCTTTCTCCTCGAAAGTCAAGTGAGAGGCAACTGGAATGATTCCCAGTCACGGAGAAAGCCACTATGAATGGCTACTAACTGTGATGGCTAGTGCATTCTGATGCCCACCCCCTCCCCCCAACAAGTTGCAGGCGGTCGTCCTTTGGGAACTGGAACTTGTTTCGTCATTGGCCTGATCTGGAGGTTCTGATAAGAACTATTTGGGAAGAACATCTGACCCATTGCTGCCCAGCAAGGGGGAAGGCACATCATTGCAGACCAACAGATTGTTCATTGTTCAGTCCTGAAGACCTTCACGCCGAGCTCCCTTCCACAATCCCTCCATTCTGATGTTCAGGTTTTGCAGGCTCTTTCAGGCACATATCTACTTCTTTTATTCTGAAAATGCACTGCAGGTTAGTGCTCTTAATGTCATAATGCCGGTGCCCCAAAATTCTAAAACACCTGGTTTTCAGAGTAGCCACTGACAATATTCCAATGGAAGGTCCACTGGAATTCCACACAGGTACCAGGTAATGAAGTAAGTAATAAGTGGAGCATCTTCTCAGTGAAGACCTTTGTTCTGATTTTACTAGTAAGTATTCTTCAAGTAGAATAATGATGGTGGGTAATCTTGTTACTCTTTATACAGATTAAGACAAATTAAGACAGCGGAGAGAAATTTAAGATTACTGTGGAGGACGAGGGAACAGATGGATGAGCATACTGCCTTCACATTTCTTCATTTTATGGAGAAACTTGATTTCAGTTTCCCTGAAGATTTAAACCAAATTTATTTTAACCGATTTCTTGGGAAGCAGAAGCCGTGCACTTCAGTGGCATGCACAGACCTGCTCTTCCTTGTTGCTTGCTATTTCAGACAGCTTAGAAGGCAGCCTAAATGGTCCCATTTCTTAGTTAATGCAGTACTTCATTTCTGAACAAAAGGAGAGGACAGGAGGTGAAACAAGTGCAATTTTCTTGCAAATCCTATTTTAATCCTATTTTGTCACAGCATATTTAGAAGTTGCCCTACAGGAGCTTAATATGAATTAAACTCAATATTTTTCTGTCACTGTAACAACAATAACAATGTTGGGCCTGCTCAGAATGAATTTATTCTAAATAATAAAAACATACCTTGCCTAAAGAGGCATATTCTGTTCTCATCGCATTGATTAGCGGTTGCTCAAATGATAAAAAAGGAGGTCCTTATTTTTTAAACAAAGATCCTAAAGGGTATCCAGCTAGTGATTTATAGTCATCCAGCCATGTCATATCACTAGTGCAGACAGTCGTTATATCGCCACAGGGACGTCTGCATGACCACAAACCGCGTGTGTGGGGTGGCCTTTTAAGCATTGGCCCCATCTCGGATCGACACGCAGCATTAGAAAGAGGGAAACCTAGTGGGAAACCTAATGCCCAGGGGGTGGAGTGCCGAAAGTCTGCAAAGCAGATTAGCCGGGTTTTAGAAATCTGTGAGAAATGCCTAGCTTGTACGCAGAATATTTCGAGTTCGGAGAAACTGGCTGGCAGATGAGAGACACCGGCCCGAAGGCCCGATATGATATCATTACCTTCTTCTATGCGTATGGTCGAGCGTCTTCACGGAGCTGTCAACGAAGGGACCGTAAACGTTCGTTATGACAGAAGCTTTTGTGGACAAAGTCCACAATTGCTTAAATCATAACTAATGCAGATGCCTTTCGGATGGCACCGGGCTCTCCGTTGCTTTTGCTATCCGAGCGAGCGCTCTGGATGCACCTTTCTAAGTTGAAAGCTAAACCATAGTTGCAAGTAAGAATCTTTAATTCTGCCGATACCAATCGTTGTCGGTGAATCTGCTTGGATCCCACGGGCGTCCAGAAGGTTTACATCCGCGATTTGGCAGGGCTGCGTTTCCCATAGATCGCTTAGGATTTGCCCTCGGAGTTGTCCGCAGAAGGAAGTCGCGCGCCCGCACCGAGTCGATCCTACGCAGGGGAACCCAGCCGAACCCACAAAGAACCCGGAGAAACGGAATCCTTCGCCAAGGCCACCCGCCCCCTTGCAATCCAAGCGAGACCACCCGTCAGGCCCGACAGCATTTCACGAAGGAGGGATAATGCCCCCCCCATACCCCCCGCGCCCATCCATCCCGGGAGAGAGCTATTCGCCATCAGCGCGAATTAACCCCCAGGCGAGGAGGGCCAGTGCCAGGCCAGTCTTCCCCACGCAATCTTGCCCTTTGGAGGGAGGCGCCCGCCCGGCGACCTACCTGGTGGTAAGGACTGTAGGCTGCTGCGAAGTAAGGCTGGGGAGGACCGTAGACTTGGTACATAACATCCAGACAGCTCATGGCGGAAGGCGGCTGGGGCTGGCGCCGCAAAGCGGGCTACGAGGCCAAGCCAAGGGGCGGCTTCTTCATGGGGCTGCCCGGGAAGCAGCCGAGCCCCCTCGGCCACTAGGAGGAGGTGGAGCGGCCCTGGAAGACGCGTGCTTTGCCCTCCCCTCCTCCAACGTGCCCACAACAGCCCACCAGCTCAGGACCCAAAGGCGCGGCGGGCGCCCGTCGGGAGGCATTTAAACGGCATGGCCGGCGTCAGGCGGAGGCGGAGACGGGGCAGCCCGCGGGACCAATGGTGAAGCCGTGTGCACGCCGCCCCCGGCCGCCCCGCGGGGCCCGCGCCACCCGCGCCC